GGGGGGGGTGGGGGAAGTTGCTTTATCTCTCAATACCTTAGTCTGAACCTTTATCAAAATTCCCCACGATAATTTTTAAATGGTTGGGAAAGAACTGACATTTAAAAGCATTTGTTTCCCTTCTCTTGTCACTCAGTGAAATGGTTGTTAGAAAATACCTGTAGGAACACAGATATTACCTTGCCAGGGGTTTGTCTTAGAGGGTTGGTTTAAAATAACAAAGATATTGCAAGTTGGCTGAAATCTGGCAGGAAAAGGAAAGACCCAAATCGAGGTTGAGGGCCTCGAGGAGGAGAGAAATAGTCAAGGACTGCTGCAAGAAGATTAACTAACAGTAGCGAGACAGAATTAAGAAAAAAAGAAAATACATTTGGCTCCTTTTCAAGAAAAAAAAAATCCCACTGTCGATGTCTATTAGTCTTCTTATGAAAGGAATGAAGGCTATTACTTGTGTCTTCTAAAGGTAAGCAGAACAAATCACTAGAAAATATGCTTTAGGGGACAATCTTGTTCTGGCAAAGGATGATGAAATAAATTGCTCCATGTTTCTTTCTTACTGTCCGCAATTCAAGGTAAGCTGCCGTTACAGGAGATGGCAGGAGAAAGAAGGCATGTTGAAAGAGCCTAATCTTTCTCTGGCCAGGTCTGCTAATTCGAGCCCAGCCTCAAACTTTACTGCTTGTTTGTCCTGCCGGACACTACCATGGCCCCAGAATGGCTTTGGAAGCACTTCGCAGATAATGACTAACCAGACACACCCACGGGGCTGCCAGGCAGTTTGTAGCACAGAGGTTGCCTCGGCAAGGGGTCATCTCCGGAGATGGACCACATGGGGCTTGCTCCCTAGTTGTTACTTCTGCACCTTCCAGCCATTCCTCCAGGTCCTGGAGGTGCCGTGAACACGTGTCTCCTCGGCCTGTCTAAAACTTGGTTGCTTGTTTGGCATGAAGCTTTCTTAACACACTCAGCAGTTGGCCAGTTTGGACATACATGTTTCCTCGACTTGAAGCTGATGCATTTTTTGCCCTGCTCTGAAAATACATAGAGTTGACTTTATAGATTTGTGCATTTGATATGAACATGCTCTGCAAAAAGGACAAATGTTTTTAAATATTCTTGGAAATGAAAATCTGATCCACAAATGTCCAGGGAAAAGCAAACAGAAAGTGGGAACTGGTGGTTTCCTTTTGCAGTCTCTCTGTTGAAGTCCGTGCCTGTGACGTATTTCTTTTTAATCCGAGATTTCCTTCAGAAACAGTGGTCCTAGTCCTGCTTTGCATAGAGTGGAAGAATAAATCTGCATGTGGTCAGAGCTGTTTAGTATTTCAGTAGAGTCCCATGGGGTTGCAGCAGTCCACGAGCATGCTCTACAGAGGGGGGTGGGAAAAGAGGATTAATACAGTCCCCGGAGGGTGGCCCTTTTGTGACTTTTTGAATCAGGTAAAAGGAGGAAAGCTTGAAAAGAAAAGTGCAGTTGACTGAAAAGGCACAGAGATCTCTAAAAGCCTGCTGATGTGGCAAGAGCTTTGTCTCTTGGAAGCAGTCTACAGAGATGAGATCTCAACACTGCTGCGTAAACCCCAGGACAGCTCTGCATAATTCACATCAGAGTTAATCCAGATCCATGTTTATAAAACCAGAAAAAATGTGACCCTGCTATTTATCATGACACTTACTGCTCTTTTTTTTAATTATGTCAAAAGCCTCAGACAGAATCGTCCCTTCCTTCTTGTCACAGTGCTGGCTACGACACTAATTAGAAAAGATTGTGGGGTTTGGTTTGGTTTTCTTTTTTTTTTTTTAATAAGATAAATGCTTCTCCTCTGATTAGCATCTGACTGATCCTCTTAAGTGCCTCAAGGCAGGGCCTGAGGAGGGAATGCAAAGATGTGGGAGGGAAGGCCATGCCACACATAAGTCATCGCACGGACGAATGGGTGAAGAGGGGCTGGGAGAAGAGACGCAAGAAAACACGATGGCTGCTATAGATGGAGCAGGAGCAGGGGAGCGACATGGTGGGACATTACTGACTTAGTCAAGGAGAGTATGGCTTGCGAGACTTTGAAGAGAAGAGCAAGGATTATGACTCAACATGGGGAAGGGAGTCATGGGAGGGATTCAAAGATGAGGGAGTTTCGGTCACAGGAAGGCTGGCACACCGGTGAGCGCTCCACACCTGACCTTCCCATTGGTACCTGCTGATGGGAGCCTTAGATACACCCTAGTTTTGGGAGAGCCGGAAAAAAGCTTGAGTATGAGCAGATTTATTGATTGCCCTTCCACAGAACAGCAGGCAATAGCACAAGAACAGTCGATGAATGGGACAACAAAACTTCCAAATCATTGCAAGGAAAGGCTGGGCCCCTTGGCTTTTGCATTTCTCAGAGCCTGTTTCAATTCTTATAAATGTAATTATTTTTGAAAGATCAGCTCAGATCATCTGAGTAGTTTGCCAGAAAGATGTTTATGCAAGTTTTTTTTTGTCTGCTTGACTGACTGACTGATTACAGGAGAGAGGTTGCAGAAGGCATCTCTTTTTACACAATTGTGCTTCCCTTAAAATGCAGTTGCAGTTTTAACTTAAACTTAGCTACCTGAATACTTGAGCAGGACAGCAGAAAGGTAGTGCTGGCAGAGATTTTCATGATGGGGGCATTGGTTTAAAGGAGGTTGTTTTTGTTGTATTCCTGTTGATTTTAATCTGTAAGGAGCACAAATCCTCTTTGTCATTCACAGCAAGAGACAAGATGCTAAAACAAACGACATCTCTCTTTATCTGTTGGTAGTCACTAAGTTTAGAACAGGGAGTAAAAGACATGGAGTCTCCACTGTGTTTTCTCCAAGAAAGAAACTGTAATTGTTCTGTTCTTGAACAGCACCTGGCTGGCTCATCAATCACTCCTCTGAAGACACATATTATAAATAAACTTTAAAATATCAAAGTGACGCATTTGAGTTGAGCTTTGCTGCCGTTCTGATTCTCCAAACTGGATGGGCGCTCTCCCTCATCATATACTAATTTCTCCCAGTCCATCTTGCTGGTCGCCTCACATTACAATCAAGGTCACACAACATCACAGCGTCGGAGTTGGCAAAAGCGGATTCAGCCCTTTCCCCAGAGAATCCTCAATTCGCAATCAACACCGAAAACCCACGGCAAAACATTACCAAAATTAGACAGCCGGAGCTTCGCTCCGTGCATTGCCTCTTTCTGTGCATCTTGCCACCTACAGCAAAATGCGCTTACAAACCCTCCGGCTGCCGGCGCGCCGAAGAAAGTCAACTACATCTTGCTCAGGCAGACCGCACCGAGTTCAGCGCTCCCGGGGGCTCGGAGCCGGCCGCCCATCCCTTACACGCTCCGTCCCGCAGCAGCCGACGAGGGGGGTCCGCGCCGAGAGGAGCTACAGCTCTCCCCGCTCCGGGGGCCGCCTGCGCGA